AGAATTGTACAGAGGAGCCTTAGGGACATTTTGTCAGCCCAGTGTCTGTATTTGAACTATTTATTACTTCATATTTTTATTATGATTACTTACAGTGCTAATCCATGTGTGACAAATCTACACTCAGCTAGGTAAGGAAATTGCCAGTTCTGTTCCATTAACAGCCACTGGCCAAAGGAACATTGTTCCTGTAGGTTAAAACAACAATTAAGGGGCCCTTAACACTTCAAGATGGGGAAAGAGGGGATACTGGCCAGCAGTATTTTCACACATTGCTAAGCTGCTTCAATGCATAAATTAACTCTCAGTTCAGTTACATCAGTGGAGTGTGTTGTGCATATGCATGACTGCTCTGTGTGTGTGTGAACCAAAACCTGGGCCTGTTGATTTATGAGAAAGGGTAAGAGAGGTTGAAATTAGTAAGCAAAGCCAAACAGTACCTTTGCAGCAGAGAATATCAAACAGTCTTTGTGACAGCTACTCACAGATGCTGATGTAAGACCCGAGGTCTTGGCATGGCAGTGGATTGTTCATTATGTAATTTTTTTCATGCCCAGGTCACTTGAACAGCATTTTGTTACTTCTGTAGCTGGACCTGTTTGTTCAGTGGAAGAACAGGATTCACTGTGGTTATATTAAATAACAAGTACAATTTATTGTAGTATAATTAGCAAGTGAACATATGGGGCACGAAATATTGTTAGACCATTGTAGATATTTTTAAAATGAGTTTATATAGAATAATAATAATCATACATATTTTTGCCCTTAATATAAAAATGTTTTGGACTTATATTAGGAGGGCAAGGAGAGCAGCTTGTAGTATGCAGAGTGTGGTACAATATGGTCATATGTCTACCAGTATTTGTGGGAGGCTGTATTGTGGAATGTGGCACAGACAAGGTTTTTGGTAAGTCTTGAATGTAATGAAGAGTAGACTGGCAATATAACATTTTCATGTCAGTAAATGGTGTTGTAAAATTGTCCAGTCCCTTAAGATCTTTTGATGAGTAGAGTTTACAGAAATAATTTGAAGAAAAAAACCCCTCTGAAATCTAATATATGTGATAATGGAGAAATAAAAGCTGCAATGGTACATTTAGGATGTATTTTTTATTACTCTAGGTTCATTTCTGACATAACTTGTTTTAGTGAATGATCTTGGTAGCTATGAAGTTTTAATAGCTAACACTTGGAAAGCCTTGTAGTTTAAACAAATGTCAACTTCAAAATCACATTCCTTCCTTAAGAAACTATCCCAAATTTATTTTTTATAAAAAAACCCTACATGTGAAAGGCTGTTAGGAGGTAATGTTTTAGAAGTTCCTGTAAAGTGGTGACTTTTTTCTTGATGGGGTCTTAGTACTGTGTCACAAAATTTTTGCTATATGTTTAATCTTCCTCCTTTATAAAATTGTTTATTAAGCTTTTTAGAGCACTGGCCCTTTGCTTCATGCAGGATTTGAAAGAAATCAATGTTTTACTAGAGTTGATAAAAAAAAAAAGAATGAAAGAGAAACACAGGCTCTAATGGACATTCTTATGTGAGTAAAAAAGGTAATAGGAAAGAGATTTTTGAGAAACCAAAGGTTTTCATCTGAACTGTGATTCAGATCTTTCTTTCATGACAATGGGCATTCTCAGGCATTCGAAACCTGGTAAAGTTTTGGAAAACAAAAAAATATTGGGAAAAACTGTTGGAGAAGGAGATTGTAGTTTCTTATGCTTTGAATAGTGGCTCTTTTTTTAATGATCTCCCCCTGAAATTTCTGCAAAAAAATTGGGTTGCATTAAAAACAAAATAAAAATCAAGTGTTTTACTAGCTCTGGTCACAAGTTGTCTCAGAAGTGTAAAAACTGCAGCAGATAGTAAGCAAACTTTTTAAGATCAAAAAATGGGCAATGTTTTAAGAACTTCTGATGAAAGGAGTTGATGCAGAGGGGCTGTTGCAGGCTGGGAGTGGAGATGATGTTCCCAAGGTGCTACACCATCCTCTCTGCACCGTCACCTCTTTGCTGGGCTTCTGTAACTTCCCTTGCTCTGTGACATACAAGGCACCACTTCTCTTGCCAGGAAAAATAAACAATTACATGTATAGTGATTGAGAGGTTCCAATTATTAATATTCCACTTGCTGAATTTTACAACCATCTCATTAATAATCTCATTTATTGGTAATTAATGAGCGCAGAGATTAATGTCTGCAGAATGTTCATTGTGCACTCTAAAACTGGGCATTTGTGTTTCTGATCTTCGTTGCAGAGTCTCTTAAAATAGCTCCAGTAATACTCACAGCAGCCCACAAAATAAGTATTTGCAGAGGTTTTTGTCTTTCTGATGGCCCAAGATGAACACTTAACAAAGTTTCTAAAGCAGTGCAGTGTGTGGTGACAAGGATGGTGCACATCAGATTGTCTTTCATGTATTGGCATCATTAATGTCTGTATAAAAATCACAATGTTTTTTAAAACATGAAAAACATAATCTTGATACCTGAATAAACTGTTACACTGTTGATAATTTTTATAATTTAGAAATCAGATCTAGAAAAATGCCTTTTAAGAAGCCTGACACCTTCAATAAAGGCATTTTTTTAGTTTTTACTGAGGGATTATGTGTTTGGAGAACCAATAAACAATGCTTATGTAACACTGCTTAGACTTTCACATCAGCCAGCTGGTATAGCCAGATACTCAGTTTTTCTTTTTTTTTCCACTTTTTGGAGGTATTTGTGAGTAGCTTGATGTTTTTGACATCTGTGTGACAGCTTCTTGCATAAGAGATGAGCAGCATGTTCTACCACCCAGCTGTGTGTATTAGTCTGCACATCAAGCTGAAGAGCAGCACTTAGCCAGATCTGACAATCAAATGTGAACTACTACTACCTATACACAAGAGTGCATTTTAATGTTGTGTGCTTTTTGCCAAGAGCCTGATGCTTGACAAAGAAATTGTCAGAATCTCTCTTCTTCCTGCCTTTTTTTTTCCTTCCCACTGATGTGAGTCCATGTTAAAATATCTTATTTTTTTCCCTGCAGTTTAATATGGTTCATCCTACAGATAGTAAAGCCAGTCTAATGTTTTCAGCAATTTCATGTAAATAAAATTCTGGCAAGCTTTTGGTAATAGAGAAGTGTAATTGTTTTAGAAAATGCAGGAAATCAGTTTGTCATTTTCTGCCAACTTAATCTGAAGTTACAATCTGCTGGGTTTCACCAATGACTTCATGTCAACATCCCAACAACCTGTCCCCATAGAAAACTGAGGACATGAAGAAATTAGAGCACTAGATCAGAAATGTCAGTGCTGCTCTTCTCAGGCTTGTTAAGGATTGGTGCTCAGCACATTGTGAGTGTGGAGATGAGTGGGAGCCACCTGCTCTGATTGGAGTTTGACTGATCTGTGAACCTTAAAATCCCCTACACTTCCACCTGACTTTAAGCCTCTGTCAACTTTCTCAATGCTTAAATTTGAATAAAAGGAATTCATTGTCACAGAATGCACAGTTATACATCATAGTTCAGCCTTCCTTGTTTATGTGTTTGCTATAAGCCAAGTTAGTTAATACATGAAATGTTTTCTCTCCCTTTTTTAAATAGTAGTGCCAGAATAGCAAAGATCTGGTTTCACCTTGTTTTGAACTTGGTTTTATGAAAGTGTTAGTCATACCTTTTTATTTACTTACTGTTTCCCCTTGTATTATACCCTTAATATTCTTTTAAAAACAGTATTTCATTTCCATCTGTTCTTTCTCTTACAACATAAAAATATTGAGTTGTTTCTTGTGTTTATGTAGTTGAAAATATTGCAATCAAAATAAGAATTTGAGTCCTGTTACCTATTTATGTAAGCATTATGGCAGATACAGTTTTATGGTCTGAGTTGCAAGTAAGTTGAAATTTGTTAATAATCAAAGTTTGTAAAAAGCAATCCTTGCAATTTAAAAGAAAAAAGAAGTAAATGAAGGAGTTTATTAATTTTCTAGGTCAGAACTTCCACTGTAATAATTTTTACACTGTAGTTAAGCTGTACGTACATTGAGTTAGTGTTGAGTTAGTCTGTGAGTAGATAAGTGTGAATGGACCTATCATGGATCAGGATTGTTTCATGCCAAAATTTCTGGTGGCATGTTTCACACATCACTTGCACTTGGCTAACCATTAGCACACTTAATTGTATAGGGCCACAAAAAATCTATTTTGATTAATAAAAACCTGAAAAATACAATTTGGAGAGACATCAAGCTTTTGCCCTACCCATTTATTAGTGATCACACTGAGTAAATATTGGTGGAGAAGCTCTCAGTCTAAAGCAGAAGTAAAAGTGGAGTTAAGAGAACAAGGGGACAGAGGAAACCTGTTTTTACAGCAGCTGGTTCTTTGTGCAATCCCAGCATCAAAGTGGATTTATGGCTGTCTGGGATGGCAGGTCTTGAGGATGGCATTTTAAATATTGTCAGGCTGTGGGGGCTTTGGGCTGCAGTAGATTGTGCTTTCCTTTTATTTCATAAACTATTGCAGGAAGTATTTTAGAGTACCCCCAGCATTGGGGCTTATTGTTTTAATGAAGTGGGTTATTGAGCCCTTTGATTAAAGATGAGCTTTGTACCCATTGGCAGGACAAATTGAAGCAAAAAAGAAAATGGAAGGAAACAAGAAATTAATGAGTAGTTATAAAGTAGGCATAGGTCTGAAGAACATAAGGCCAAGATGAATTTTGATCAGTGTAACAAGGACTGATGCCTAAAAAAGAACTTGGGAGTAAAAGAGCTCATGAGCTCTAAAACTGCCTAAACTGAATTAATGTTTTGTAAACAGTGAAGTCCCCCTAATTTTACTGTTTTGTTTTGTTTTACTTATTTAATTTTCCAGATTTGAAGGTAGCAAGAGAAGTAATTGCACCTGGTTTTGCCATTTAAATACAACTACTTTTATCCTTCTCTGTTTGTATCTTGGTTTTTAAGTCTAATTTTCTATTTCAATTTTGCTCCTCCAAAACAGAAGAAAAAACTTCTTGAAGAACTTGGGGAGAATAGACTTCCATATCTGACACCAGCCGATGCTGATTTCCACCAGCTGGTAACGTATTTCTTTGAAATCATTTTAAACTAAAATGGCTGTTTGCTCTGAACAACAAATAAATCTTCCTTCAAAGAGACACTGTGAAATATGATATGAAAAAAGGTACCATGATGGCTGATAATGCACTTCCAGGTGGTGTGAAATAAGATCTCTAGAACTGGGATATTCACAAATGAGAACTTGGTGAACTTTGTTTATTTTTACATGTGTGCCCTCACTACAAGTAATGTATAACATTTAATCACAGCTTTTCATGCTTTGGTGAAGCAAAATACATGTCACCAATTCCTTTAATTTATTTTTTCTGAGTGGTGAAGAGATCTTTATAGCTCCTGTTTGGCAAAATAGGGGGAATATTAACGTAGAAATTTCAAGTATAGGGGGCTTAATTCTACTTTCCAAGAATAAGGAATTGTTAATTCTTGGCTTGCAAAACAATCTGTGGAAATGGAATGCCTCAAATGAAACCAAACAGAAGGATCAGGCCCAGTAGCCACATGAGTAGTAAACCAAGTGAGTGTATGCAAGAATATAATGAATAAATAGAATTTTCTGCATCTGTCTTGGATCTTTCTAGATCAGCTGCAGAACTCAGGGTAGGTTCAATCAGATCAAATTGGATCATGGTAAGAGAAAAAAGAGAAAAATTCCTTATTATAAGGAATGACCTGGCTGTTTGAAGAGCTCCAGTGACCATGCTCACATTACACAACACAGGAGTGGTGCCTGCCTTGTGTTGATATATGGCTCAAAGATGTGCAAGTGTAGAAGAGCTGGGAGAATTTATAAGAGTGACAACAGATGGATTTTATTATTTCTTCTTTCTATACACAAAAACCCAAACACATTCTTTTCAGTCTTAAACTTAATGCTCATGAAGAAACTCTTCCCCCTTTGAAGAAGTGTGCAGCTGACTTTCCTCCTTCCTAGTCCTGTTACATCCCCTTGTTTGTTCTCTTCTGCCTCTGATGCTGTCAAGAGATGCTGTGCCCTTTTTCTTTTTCACATCTTTGTAAATTCAGCTTCTCCTGGAGCTGATGTGAAAAGAGAAAGTGGGATCTCGTTTGCTCAGGGTCAGTAACTCATAAGTACAGAAGACAATGGGAACAAGATAAGCAGTAAAATCACAGCTGTCCAATCCTTAATAAATTTTTGATATGTTCTTTTTGCAAATATGGAATTATTCTTTTTATGTAGTATATGTGTGATGCTAGATATTTTTAAGTATATAGGCTAATCATAAGCATCACAAACACCTTTTGAAGTCTGTGGTGGTTATGAAATGTTCATGGAATCACAGGTGTAGAAATTGCAGGTTCCAGGATGCTTAAATGCACTACAGCTGGAGAGGAAAAGAAGGGTGAGAGCTTGAAGACAACAAATCAGCAAAGTGAAATTTCACATACAGTTTAGTTTTACAGTCTGTCTTTCCTGGACAGACCTGCCCTATTCCTTGAAGGATCTACCTCTTATGAAACAGTATTCTTTGAACATGTTGGAAAAGTTAGGTAGGATGAAACCAAAAAAACTGTCTTATCCTGTTGGTTATGGAAGTGTACAGCCTGAACAGAAGTAAGAAATTCCATCACAAGCAAAACTTCCACTGACATCCTCTTTCCATGGGTTTTTCCTGATAAAGGATTTTGGAAATGGGCCCCAAGCCATCAGCTGAAACAATGCAGTGTTTAAAGCAAGTACGGCACAAGAAGGGGGCTGTAACAAGGGAGTTCACAAATAGTTGAAGTACAAACTATAATTTCATGATGCACATGGCAGTTTGCTTATCAAGGGTCCTTATTGCTGATTCCTAACTTTATTCTGTCACTCAGGTCCATAGGGTGGTTCTCTGTGTTGGGTATCACCATCAAAAGTGAAAGCATATTTAAAATCTTGCGTGTAATAGTCACAACAAGGTTTGAACATCAAATGTGGTTTATTTCTGCACTGTAGTTGCCTGTAATGCTGCCACTTCTTTCAGAGTGAGCAGTGAGCTGCCCTTTAATACTGGCTGTCAGAGTTACAACACAGAGTGCATGATTGCTGCCCTTCCCCACCCCCAAAACAACAAGGTGTCCAGTGTGAACCCAGCAGTCACCCCGTGTTCTGAGCCTGTAATTCCTTCCTTATGGAGGGCACAGCACAGGCACTGCTTGGGGATTTAAAGAAGACCAGGCTGTTTTCATGTGATGTGTCAGAAATGTGTTTCCACTTCCTGATTTCTTTTGAGATACCTTAATGATAAAATAGTTCTTGAGCATGTGATCTTTAAAGCACAACCCAAAGGTAACAGGCCTCTGACTTGGCTGGCAGCAAAATGTGCAAGGCATTACCTCTGCAGCTCAGGAGGGGAATACAATGTTGTTTCCTTTGTAAAATCTGTGTTCTTCCTTTCCAGTGCATGTTTTCAGGGATTTAATTGCTTTATGTCATATTCTTCCCTCCTCTGTTTCTAATAATTGTTGGGAATTTCATGTGTGTGATTAATGTCAGAAATTCAGTGAATTTATATTTTCATATAAATGGTTTAAAAGTATATACTATTAGTGACTGTTTGATAATACATAATAGCATATGTAATGTGGTATGAGTATGTCCAGTATATAGAATTATTTAATGAAATACTGGAATATTGCTATAGAACTGTTAGAGCTCTTTCTTTCATACAGGACATTTGCATAATGGAAGAAATAATGAAATAATAATCTTTATATGTCAAAACATATAATATTATAACATTCTTAAGTAACATTATGAAAGAATATTTATGATTCCCATCAGGCTGTACCTTCACATCTGACTGTAGCCTATAGCTCCAAGTCCTGAATTTACACTTACTAATTTCATTAGTTGTTGTTTTTAAAGACTTTTTTCACTGTACTGTTGAAAGGCTGGAGATACACAGCGCTGATAGAAACAAAAGGGGCAGTTCAGGACTTCTAAAGGAATAATTTCAGGCTTTTGACAAGCACAGGTGAATGTAGTTTATCAAGTTTGGATTCATTTCTTGGAATGAAAGCTGTGATCCTGTGTTCTGGGGTCGTAGAGGGACCTTCACACAGATCTGGGACTGTTTTCAAGCTTTGGTGTTTGAAGCTAAGCATGTAAATACAATTGTCAGAAATTATTATCTGTAGATACTGTTACAGTGGTTCATTTTCCTCTCTCTAGGAAGCTAGTTTTTGGAACCATAAGAATGTATAAAGAAAAGGAGTTAGCTTCACTGTAAAAATTTACAAGGAATAGTGGCGAGGTTTATAGATAAACCAAGATTTATTATATGTAATCATTATTTTTAAAATAGGCTTCCTTTTATGTTCTCCTTTTTAGTAGAAACAAATGATCCTATAAAGCCAGCTCTTCAGTGTTATAGGATAACAGTGCATTATGATGCAAAAGTCTGTTTTCATGCAGTGGAAAATGTGAATACTTACTGCCTGGTTTGTATTTTTTAAGGGCACGTTCTTTGGATTTCAAAATTAATTTCCTGAAAGGCAGGTTCAAATGAGACTTAGAAGTAGATAGTACTGGTAAAGTGTGTTTGAGTTGTAGCAGAAGGAGCTCACAGATGGATTGTAGGTCAGTGTGGTGTTTTGTGCCAGTGACTTTTGTCTTTTTAAGAGCACTTTGAACATAAGCTATTAGACTAATAAAAGTTTTGGCAGATCAGTTTTATGCATCCATGTGCTTTTGACCCATTGCCTAATGCCTTCAGATTTCAGTCCCCACACCACCATCAGTACCTACCTTTTCTCCAAACTACTGACTAATTTCTGGACAGAAGGAAATAGGTGTGGTGAGTCCTCAGGAGCTTCACAAATGCTAATTGATGTCTGATGCACTCACATTACAGCCCCTCCCTTAGTAGGGCACTAGTGTGCATCTGCTTCTTTTATTTATCTATTAATTTTAATGAAATATGTAAGAACCCACTCTTTAAAAGAACTTATTCCCCAGCCTTTGTCTAGTTTGCCAAACAGTCTCAGCAGTAGTTTAAGCAGATTTACAGGCAACCAATAAAAGGTGTGATTATGTGATACTCACTTCCTTAGAAAACCAGATTAACAAAATAAAATTATCCAAGCCTTCCTGGAGTGGGAAGCAGCATTGTGCATGCAAAGCAAGAAGCTGCTGATTAGCAGGGTTGTACCTTGCTGGGAGCTGCTGCCTCCACACACTGCTGGATTCTGAGCTCCAGCTGATACCAGAGCTGGTGTGGTCACAAGAGGATATGGGGGAAAAGGACACTACAGGTAGGGAGCTGGGGAAGCAATGTTTGGACATTTTCTGTTTTCAAAAGAGAGCTTTTCTATAAAATGAGATATAATTGGCAGGTACTGAGGAATGTAAAAATAGAAAGCACCAGAATGTTAGAAGCACATTTTTTAAAATGTGTACATTTTGATTTTGTTATTTTGTCCCTGAAAAGTATTGTTAGATAAAGCTATTTGAGTGTCTCATGTCACCCTCTAGATTTCTGTACATCAGAATGAAACTGAAGGGTCTTTGCCACCATTACAAAAAGAGGAATCACTTTTTTACTGCTTGATAATCTATTATTTATATACTTAAAAGTGCCATTATCTACAGATTCATCAGCTGAGCTGTTCTTCTAAATTGTTCTAGAGTCTTTGTATTTATTTATTTAGAGATTTGATCTGCTTTAAGCCACTGGTACATATCCACAGCTTGTGCAATATACTGAAATATGAAAATGAAGTAACAAGTGCTGGCATCCATACCTTCACCATATTCTAGACTCATTCCTGTTATCTTGACAGCTTTGCCTTGCCTTGAAATATCTTGACTCCTGTAAAAAGAATAATTATTTTCCTCTTTTTGTTATTTGGGTTTTTTTTTTCCTCCTTTAGTGGAAGACCAAGTATTCCAAGCTGATTTTCAGGAAATCTGATGCAGTACCTGAAGATCTCCACCACATGGTACAAGAAAGCTTTCTGGCCTTGCGAGAGCACAACTGTTTCTTTCAAGATCTTGTGAGGATCAAAGGAAAAGACTTTCTTACTCCAGTGTCTCGTATATTAATTGGAAACCCAGGATGCACTTATAAGTACTTGAACACAAGATTATTTACAGTTCCTTGGCCTGCAGAAGGTTATGACATAAAATATTGCAGTCCTCAAATACGTGATGCGTGTAAAGCATTAATGAGACTTAATGACTACTTGCATATTGAAACAGTCAAGGCATTGCAAGGACAGAATTTGTTTGAGAACAAAGAAATTAAAGATACTTCTGGAATAGATAGGAAGCAAAGTTTTGCTACTTCTCTTACAGAGCAAGGGTCTGTTTCAAAAGATCAAAGCAGTGTTTGTGTATCAGAGGATGACAGAAGTCTAAAGAGCAGAACATCTTATAATTTGACTTTATTAAATTATATGGATCCACTACAAATGCTGTACTTGAAACAAGAGCCTTACTTTGGAATGGGGAGCATGGCAGTGAGCTGGCACCACGATGAGAACCTGGTGGAAAGGTCAGCAGTGGCTGTGTACAGTTACAGCTGTGAAGGTGAGTGATGGCACTTGACCAGTCACCAAAGTCCCTGGAATCCCTGAAGCTCTGCTGTGTTCCCTTGTGTGTATGTACATAAGCACTCCTGCATTTTGGTCTAGACTTGACACGTGCTTCTGAATGCACTGTGGTACCTTTTGTGTTGAAGTCTTACCTTTATTCCCACTAAAACCTGTACAAAATACCTGTGTTTCCTGCAGCTGGCTTAGCAGTTGTTCTCTAACTAGATTTAAACATTGGTATAATTAATTCCCTGACTAAGAGCCAGGAAAATCAAAATCTGTCAAATATCTCACTTAGGTTAATGCATGTGCATGTTTTCTATCCTGTAAAATGTTTCACTGTGGCTGGGATCACCATTTTTATAGTGTTATTTATCATATACAGAGTTGCTTTGCTTTATGCTGATTTTACTACTCTTCTTTCTTTGGAAAGATCGTTTTCAGTTGGACTTGGATAGAAGTATGACTGTATTAACTTAGAAATATATGCATTTTGTCTAGGCATGCTGTAGTGTTAATGTGTGTTTTATGGAGGGCTTGCTGACATTTCTCTAGCTGGGAAGAGTGGACACTTTGCATTAAAACAGCCTCTTGTCTGACAGGCTTTGCAGGCTCTTGCTTACTTTAGAATGAAGCTCATACAGCATTTTTGGGGTGGCGGTAAAAGTGCAGTTGAAGCATCATTAAATATTTCATTTTTAGTTTAAAGTATCTGTCCCATTTTTATCTTTATTTAAGAGCAGACATGAAAAATTTTTGTTTGTGTTTTTTCCCTAACAATGCTTGAACAAAGGCTTGGGTATTTTTTTGGATATTTGCAAACATAAGATTAGAATTTAGAAACTTGATTTGAATTTGCAAATGTTCTGTTATGTTTCATCATTCACAGTGGATTTTTTCTTCTTCCAAAATTCCTGTGATGTTTGCTTTAGAACAGGGGAAGAATTTGCATTGACTTCAGTAGGTTTCAGCTAAAGACTGTGGTATAAAAATGATAGTTTATACTCCCACGTGCATTCTCTTATTGGTTTTGTTGTTAAGTTTTGAAATTCAGTGCCATTTTGTTACTTAATGTACAACTGAAGTCATATTATTTACATTTTCCTGGATATAAAGCATCAACTGGCTTAGCAAATTGAGTTGAAGAGATTTCCTGACTGGTAAAAGTGTAATTTTCTTCATGAACTTCTGTCCTATTTGTCAATGGTGTCAAGTAGATGTGTTGGTTTTTTTTCCATTACTACTGTAGAGAAATATTTTTTCAGTAGGATTTTAAATTAAAGAAAGCTAAACATGAACTTGAGGTAATAATACTTTCTATGAGGATTTATTGTAGTATGCCTAAAACTTTCTTACTTTAACATCAAGTTTGCTTGTGGAGGGGTAAAATGTGAGTCCCTTTAAGTTTAGAGAGCTATAAATTACCAAAAATGAAAACTGCTATGTTTATTCATAACTCATCAGTTGGTTTTGTTTCTTCTATTCAGTAAGTTAAATAAGTTAAAATTATGGTGTTTTAAAATCACTGCAAATTCTGTAGAAGATTTGATTGATGTGGCTAGATAGAAATATTTAACATATTTAGGCTAAAAGTTATTTTGATATCTATGTATAATAATTTTTTTGTCGAATAAGTTTTTTTTCATAAATACACTTACAATTGAAAGTTTGTATTTTTTTCTGAAAAGTTTTGAAATAGGAAAACAAAGAAAACAAGATCTTTCTAGTAAATCAATTGATTTTTCTATCATTTAAAAAAAATGAAAAGTCACTACTTGAAATTCTTGTGATTTTGCATTGCTCAGGTTGGGTTCTTGAGCTTTAGAGGGCGTTTCAGGTGCCTGCCATGGCAGTGGAGCATCGTGGGGAGATGTCCTGCAGTCCAGCTCTGTGTGCCAGCAGTGCCCTCCCATCTGTGCTCAGGGTGTGTCATTGTATGTCCCTCAAGCAATGACCTGCTTCTCCATAAATTGGAGGAAATGGATCCTGTTCATACTTAGGAGTATGGTTTTGTAACTGAAGTGTTGGTAAATATCTCTTTGTGTTAAAGTTTTGTACCCAGTGCATCCAAGAGGATTTGATTTTAGAGAATCAGAGAAGTAGATTGCCTTTTTGCTCTTCTGATTTTCTGCTTACAGCCTTCCAATGCTGGTGGTTATAAACTCATCAATGTTTACAATATTATTCTGTCCAGTTCTGTATAATGTCAGTGTTTTCATGGTTTCTGCAACTTACAAAGACTTTCAATATTTCCTATATTACCAGGTCTCCATAACTGTGAAACATGAGGATCCCAACATCTTGTTGAACAATATTGTTATGTCTTTGTGGAAATATGTCTTGACTTTTTATTTGCTTTAAATATATTTAGTTTTTATGCCGACATCTTTTATTAGCACTTGTTAATTTGTTTAGTACTGAGTTAGCATTGAATTCTCAGTGTAGTGTAAAAAGACTGTCACAGAATCACCACAGAATACATAATAAAAAGAGTAGTTGTGCTCAGAATTTTTTTGTTGGAGCTATTTTTCCCTAGAAGATGTAGATGTGCTGGATTAATAATTTTCTGGGGGAAAACACTGATTGAGTGGGAAATGCAAACACAAATTAAGCATGTTGATTTTTGTTGGAACTGGCTTGATTCTTTTTTCCGCCAGGTCTTGCATGTTTGTTTTGTCAGCTCTCAATTCCTCAAATCCCAGTGGACACTGAGGGTCTGTGGCAGCCTTGGCACGTGGGAGCTCCGGCTTCCAGAGCTGCAGGGCTGGTGCTGACCTGCCCTGCTGCAAATGCACAGGCCCCAGGTTGTCAGATTTTGAGCAGCAGCAGCCCTTGGAGTCAAGCAGTCTTACTGAGCTCTGTCAGCTCTGTCAGACTGTTTAGAGATGCTCAACTCAGGTTATGTGGTTTTCTTTTTACTTTCATTTACATCTTTATATCAGTATTTGTTTTGTGCCTACTTACTGGATTCAATAGCATTAAAACAGATACTACTGTAATTGAAACAACTTGTTTTCTTGTTCATTTGTTCATTGTTTGATGCCATAATGAAAATTTCATGTTTGAAACTTTGATCAGTGTTAATTGGAGTAGAAGCAGTTTTCAATATGCCAGAAAAGAAATTTAGACATCAACATAAAGATATTGAAACAAGCTGATATTCTAATTGGTATCAGGATTTATTTTCTTGTTTCCAGTGTAAAACTCTTTCAAAACAACTTCAAATGAAGTACAATTCTAACAACAAAATAAGGTAAACATTTAGCTTGATGCTTTAACTTACATTGCATTAGGTTAGGAGTAGGTTGTCAAGTGATGAGAATAAAAATTTGAGAGGTTTCCTTTTAGTGTGTATGCTGCATGAAAGTGCATGAGTGGTAGTCAGGGTGTGTATGCAGAACTGAATAGATTACAGAATGTGTGTTCAATTATACTGCCACTAACAATATTTGGAATTAATTTACATTTCAGAATTTATCAAGGAACAAGAATTTCAAATTTTGACCAATTCAGCATTTTTAATAACACATTAGCTTACAAGTATCCTATCACCTGAGAGCATGAAGGTAAAAGAATTGTTCAGGATTTTAATATAGTAAGCTAATAACTCATATTTATTTCCTGTTGCAGTTATAAAAGTGAATTGCAATCCAGTAGAATAAGGGCATTTTCAAAAATTGGATTTTATCCATGAAAAGTTCCTAATGACTAGCTTTCCATCCGGTCAATGTAAGTTTTGTAGGAAGTTTTATTACTTAGCAAAGCACTAGTTGGTTCTAAAGTTTTTCTTTGAAGTAGAGACTTGTTTCAGTTACAAACTTACAGGAGATGGAAAAAAATGTAAACACTTGAAGTGTGTCCATCTTTCTCTTACCTGGATTTCCCACAGAGAAAGAGATAAGGTAAGTAGTTTTCTCTAGATTCTTTAGCATATCTAGTTTGTTTTCTTGCTGTTTAACTCTTGGACTTCTACACAACTGCCTCTGTCTCCTGACAAGGCAATGTTAAAAGGTTTAACAAACTTACTGTTAGTTGCAGTGATCACTAATCTTCGAGGACCTTTTGTGCTTGTTTCTTTTGTAAAATGCTATTTTTATGTTTTTACTCTGTGAAGTTAGAAGCAGCATCCTGGCACGTAGCCTAACGATGGCTATTTCATTTAATTGGGAATAAAAATAATTGAGATGTACTACAGATGTATGTTTCCCTACCATATTAAACAAAAATTCTGAAACTACAAAAGTTGTTCAGCATTGAAGTGAATCTAACTTTGTAGTTGACAATAACCCTCTTTTTGTTGTGCTTAATGAATAAAAACCATGGAGTAGATGTTTTTTGCAGGATTGGAATAATTACTAATGTCAATAATATAACAGAAATATTACTTGTTGAAATAACAGAAATGGTATGTAGAAATTTTTATCTTACTTTTAAAGAAATGGGTAAGTGCATGAAATGGTCACAGCTCTCACTTGCAGGGTCTGACCAGTTTGATTTATGTTCTGAAAGCCACAAATTTTTAGTGACCCACTAAATTTCACAATAATATATTAGAATCCCTGTTGTCTAAAAAGAAATCATCACTTGAATAGACTGTTGTGCATTGTGGGGTCTCTTTTAAACATCTTCTCACTGATCAAATACAGCCTCTCCTTCAGAAAAGAAGGGATGACAGAACATTCTTTGTTCTTATTTTCGTGCTTTTGTTCCTGATTTATGTGAATATGGCATTCCAAACATGAATCGATAAGAACATTGTTGGCCAAATCTTATGTTTTTTTGGTTTTGTGAATGTCAGTTGCAAGAAAAATATAAATGTTAATAGAATTTAACATCTTATACTATGGCTTTCCAGTAATGAGGTAGAGGAAATGACTTTGGGTAGATACTTCTTTCCCATCAGCTGCTGAGAAGCAAAGCATGCTCTGCTTTCACTTCTTGCATGTAACACATATAAATTGCTATTGAAAGACACTGATTATTTATGTATTTTTTAATTGAGGAATATGTGCCCAAATTACTTTACATTCTGGAAAAAATCAATCAATCTGTAAAGAAACAATATAACAGTGGTCAGTTGGATTTAATGTTGATGTAGATACTTACAGTCCTTGTTCTTAGCAATGTGTTGGCAGTGATTCTATTTTCTTAAGAAATGGTATGTAAGGTTACATTTAGGATATAATTTGGCATTACAGTTTGACTTGAATAGAGATCATTTAGTTTTCAGAGCATCAAAAAGTCTCAAGCTCTGGAAGATTTTGGAGCCAAATAGCAAAGAAACATTTCAAAACTACTTTTACTTTCTGTGCTCTGAAACAATAACCAAAGTAGTTCCAGGAAAACAAGTTTCATATTGTTCTGAACCTAACCCTGACCCAAACCTGATAAGATCAGATCTTAGTGCTGGAACATCTCTGAAATTTGAGCTGTCTCGTTAAAAGCATAATGCTGTGGCCAATTTTCTGCAGCTACATTCTCTCTTTCATGGTTCTGCCATAATTACAGGTTTGATGAGGTATTGTTATGCTGTGGTAAGATTTTACTTCATTGCACCATTTTATTTGGGATTCCAGCATAAAGGTTTCTTGCAGGCTCAAGTCTGTAAATCTCTGCTGACCAGAATTCAAATCTGCCCATAGTTTTGTTATACTTCCATTAAATACTTGTATACTTGACCATTTCTGTATGGCTTACTACAGAATACATTTGTGTTCTTAAGGTGATGGGTATGTGATCCATGATTTATTCACATGATTTATTCTCAAATACTTACGATTTAGATGCATCCAAATGTTTTCACTTAAATGGCAACTGTAATTATATCAATAAATATACAGCAACCAATCATTCCTGAGGTGTCATAGAGAATTTAATAAAAACCTTTTCATGTAAAAGTTTGTCAGGCTATGCCACAAATGTTAAGGTGTCTATTTTTCCCTTGCTCTCAGTTTCAGGGTAGCTTGCATTTAAAAGCAAGTAGCAGCTTGCTTCCATTTGTTACCAAAATAACATGGTAGGAGCAATCAGTTTCAATTGCTGCTGATAATTATAAGGTGCAATAATTGAGAATATAGAGAAAAGGAGACCGTGAGCTGTATTTGAACTCCGTACTTAAGCAATAAAAAATTTATCAAACTGCAAAAAATAAGTCATTTTAACGAGCACATTCCAAAGGTGCTGGATTTATGAGGAGACCCCAGGAAACTTTGATTGAAATTGCTGTCTCTGATTGTAGTTCTATATTTTATTGGTGCCATATTGTGAACAGTGCTGCTGCCAAAGTGAATGGGAAGGCAGCATAACAGAGAGAGTTAACCCAGAAAGGTTACTTCTTTTTATAATATCCATGATGTATTGCATTAAAAATGCCTTGAAAGCCATCCTACTTGCAGTTTTCAGAAAACATTTTTCTTAAGTTACGATTTATCTGAACAGGGTAGAAAATCTCAAAGGCCCTTGAAGAGTTTAGTACTGATTTTTCTGAATATTTCCTAGCTCTTGTTTTGTCATTTGTGTGCTCCTTGGTGGAAGGGCCTAGAGCTGCTCCTGAGCCACAGCTTCAGTTGGATGAGCACTGCAGCAGAGAAGGGAGGGAACCTGGGGACTGTAAGAATTTTCATTTAAGAACATTTAGATTTGCTCTTTAATAGGCTTTGTCTCTCTGCTTCTGAATTTAGATAATATTTCATTAACATAATAGTTAATAAATTGTCCTAATTTTCTGAAGGCTGCCCCCAGCCAAACAACCTGCAGTAACCATGTGAGATGAATGACAGGAATGTTTTAAAAGTGTGAGTTTGTAGTCACACTTTATGCATGCCTTTTATAAGAAGAACTGTACATCTTTATATTTTCCTTCTAGAATTTACTTAAGACAACGGTTTTAAAAGTTATTACATAAAAGCCCATTTCAAGTGGACAGTGAAATGGACACAGTTGATAAGTTCTAAGCAAGAGTTGGGCATGGTGCATAGTTAATTTCTAACTCTTCTGTGCTGTTCTGTGCCAGCTACTTATTAAAACTTCATCCCTCCTCTGTCAAAATGCACTGTTACTTTAGCTGTAAAACTGTTACACCATATCCCAAATACCTTGTTATAAATGCTGACTGTATCTTTCAATTTATACTGCAGTGAAGTAAGCTTATGAACATAGTTCTGAGGGATTAAGCTCTAAATACTATTTCTATGCAGTGGATTATTTTTTCCCCAAGCTCAACATGTTCATGTTGCATAATGATAAGAAAAGTGTTGTGACAAATGCATTGAAGCTTCATTGGCTCTTGCACATGTTATCTAGCATGTTAGACTAGTAATTTTGAGAAAAGAATGACAGAGATGGTTCCAAGATTTGCCTTGTTGGTCTAGACTGTGTTTTGTAACCATCATTTCACCTTTGCCTCAGTTTATGATTTGGTGAGATTGCAAGTACATAAACAAATGAAATTTCTCCTAAAATGTTTTGGCAGTTTATGACTTGAAATTCTTTCAGAAGTTATCTATTGTTATATCAGTGTTGCTGCATTTTTTGGGTTTTTTTCTTCCATGCTTGTAGTTTTAGTAATAAAAAAAAATTAGCGATGCTTAACTAAAACTCCCCTTACATGTGCTTAAGAGTTTCAGAAAACCTTAAGTCCATTACAAGCCTTGACTTGATTAGCCTTGATAGTTAACTTAAAGTTTTCATCTTGGTAAAGTTGGTTAGAAAAAAATTCTTGATCTCATATTTTCTTTTTCTTTTACCTGTTGCATACTTTTGAATTTGGAGATGATAATTATAACAAGTGGAGACCATAGAATCTTTAAGCCTATTAAGATTGTACCAGTATGGGATATCTTTGAGTCTAAACCAGGTTTTCTATTTATGATTCTTACCTGTTCCCTCATTTTTGTGGTCTCTCTCTCAAGATTCATCTGTACAAGAAAGCAAGGAGCAGGAACTGAAGGGAAGAGACCCAGCTGTTTGGCATGTAGGCTTGAAGGTGGCATGGGACATAGAGACACCTGGCTTGGCAGTGCCACTTCACCAAGGAGACATCTACCTGATGCTTGGTAATTTTCAAGGACTAAGAAGTTGAACTTTCTGTTGAAAATAGAGAAACTTACACTTATGTTAAAATAAGTTACCATACCTTCCTTACAGTTAGGACTTTTCTTATTTAGAAAAACATGAAATCTGTCTGGAATATATAATAAATTCTTCCTACTCTGCCTACTTCCAAAGTATTTAGGGGAACTATTTTTTCTTAATGTTTCTTTCACTTTACAGCTAAGAAAGAAATAGTCTTTTTTCACCTTTTCTGTCCGTTGTGAAGTCAGAATTGCTAGTTCAAGTTAGACTTCAGGCCATAACTAGAATTTCCCCAGATCTTGTCAGAAATTGGGCTGTATCCATCCCATCTTTGTCTTTCTAGATTATTTTTGTATTCTTAATGCAGTTTTTCTGAGCATCTCTTATGTTTAACAAATAAATTCCTGTTCCTCAGCTTGGCTTGTCAAGTGACACCTGTATTATGTAAGATGTGAATGAATGTCTTAAAGTTTTCTGGTACCACAGTCCTCGAGGTTTCAATCATGATGTCAGTCTGTGGGTATTGTATTAGTCACCAGTTTTACACATGACACTTCTCTCCTTCTGCTACTGTGTCTACATTCAAACATGCTGTTTTCTAGCAGTGGGATTATACTAAGATCATAATGAACACAGCTGTCTTACTCCAAGAATGAGTCTCAATGTCTCAAGCGTAGAGGATTAAGAAAAGAAAATTAAATTGAGTTAATTTGCTTGAGCAGCTGAGCTCATGTGCTAAGGTTTATCCATTAAAAGAAACGAAGTGAGAACTGTTGCTAAGGTTTGTTGACATGAAATCTGTTGCTTTCTCTTTTGGCTCCTGTTTGTCTCTAGGTTTTCATTTTTGTTAAAATAAATTTTGTTTAAATCACACAAAAACAATAACAAGGTTTCTGACAACATCATGTTGGCCTGTTTAGTGTCTTGGCTTGACAGACATCATCTGAAGATTGAGAGCACTTGCAGAACTCCCTGCTTATGTGATTGTAACTTGCAAGGCATATTCTGTGGAATATCCCTAGAATGACTTGTCACACTCCCAGCTTTATGGGCAGAACAGTCTTTTGAACTTTGCCTTTCACAGTTTATATCCTAAAAACAATTCCTTTATAAGCCACCATAAAAGCCATGTACCATTCCTTGTTCTTGGTTATCTCATCAAATCTTCTGCACTGCCATCAGGGAAGCGTTGTGTAGAAGCACTGCACTAACTGTGCTCTGAAGAATGTTCAGACATGGAAAGATCAGGGGTTAAGATGTAAGGTCCTTAAGGTCCTTTGGCATAGTGGTCTGGATGTGCCTCCCTTTTTTGTAAGGGTATGAAGTAGAAGCCTAGAATGAAATAGGGACAGTGAAAATGAAGTTTAGGTGGCAGCTAAACATTCCTAGAAAGGTTATTATAATCTATTTTTGTGCAATAGTAGTTGGGGCATCAAGTAAACTTCTTATATAATCCTTCCTGACTGGAAACTCTGAGCATATAAAGCAATGCTGGCCAAGAGATTCAGAAGGTATTTAATAAAAGAAGGGGACTAACTTTAGTATTTTTATTGCAAAATACTGTAGATTGTAGTTGATTGAGTTACCAGATTATAAGGGTGTTTTTTATTCCCTAGTGGAATTTATATAGTGACTAAAGTATTTTCAGAGATTCTATATGAAGGGTAGATCAGAAAGTTAGTTTATATAATGAGTAACATCATGAGCATGTTTAGATGGAAACAAAGGATATATTAAACATTCTTTTGAAGATGATGTGTAAATCACTTTCTTATTAGTACTTTTGAAGAGCTACAGATTTGAGCTCTGTAGGCCAGGTGTTTTTTTAATCTCTTCTGCATTTTCATAGTCTTTGTGTTTCTTTTCAATTACTTAGAAAAAAAATTACTCTTCTAAATAGTCTTAGAGGGTATTCTCAAAATGGCCCTTTTATTAGGTTTCTTTGTGTAGCAGAACTGCCTGTATCATTTTGACTTGGAGTGAAAGACAATATTAGGAAACATATATAGTTTCAGTGTATTTTTTACTGTTCATATTTTTTGCACTAACTTTTAAGAGGGGGTATCCTGAAGATGCCAACTAAAAGACAAAATATGAAAACTCTGTAAAAAAAAGAAACTTGGCAATAATAAAAAAACTAAGATTCATTTGTCCTATGCTTTTGTAACTGCTGCATTCCAGAACCTCATCTCAGTAACCAGAGTCCTCTTACTGGCATTATGTTAAAAGCAGTTGCAGAATGCAAGACATTTAGAAAATAGAACATGGAAGAGTCATGCAGCTGGTGGTGTTCACCCAGCCTAGCACAGAACTCAGCCACTCTGTAGGTCTGTCTTTCCAGTTGTTGGAATGGTGTAGTGTTACTGCTTTATATGAATGTTGAAAATGCTGAAACATCACATTCAACATGTTGCTTATAATTTAAAAGTCAGGTCCTATCAATTCCTGTACCTGTAATACCACTAGTATTTCCTGTGGTACACACAAATCTATATAAGAAAGCGTGGTAACTGGATATTTCTTACAGTAACGTGCAATTACAGTAAGTTGTAAATCAAGATCAATGGGTATAGCAAAGTAACAAAAAAACCCCCAGTTTTTTTCTTTTTAGCATTTCTACTAGATATTTAATAATGTTTCTGTTCCTCTCTTCATTGGCTTTATAGATGTTTCTTGTTATTCTGGGGAGAAATTAAGCAAAATGTCTTATAATTTAAATTTACATCTTCTCAGCAGCCCTCTTCAGATGAAATCATGAGCTGTAATTTAGATGTATGTTAATATTAAACATAAGATGATCACATCCATTCTTCTTTTAAGCTATTGCAATAATGTAAATGTATTTTATTAAACAAAACCAGAAAAAACTCAAAATTACTTTCAGTAAGACAGATTTTTTAAAATAATTTTTTAGGCTTTTCTTAAATATTAAGAAAAAAGTCTGGTGGATGGCTGCAAGTCTGCTGCCTAAAAATTCAAATCTAAACTTTATATCACTCATGGAGTGGAAACACTTTAGCTCAATTTAGAATAATATATTGGTCTGCAGAGGAAGTGCACACTGACCCCTGCTGTCTCAGGTACACAGCCAAGGGGTGTCTAATCTGAAACGTGTTGGGTGCATGCAATAAATCCCAAACGCGTGGAGGTGAGCAAAGGGCCCCATCTGCTCTGTCCTAGAGCATGCTTAACTAGGCTTGTCATGGTCCTACTGTTAAACTGGAATTTTTTCCCTAATCTTTGAGTTAGACATGACCAGATTTGCAAGCAGATTTACAATTTTCACTAATTTTCCTACCATGACTTCAAACCATACTTAACAAAAATACATTCTGGACTCTTTCAAAGGCAGATTTACTTTTCTGCAGCTGTTTCCCATAGATCAAGCTCTTAGCTTGAAGGTTAGGGTTTTAAAACAGCATGAAGATGAACTTTGAATCTTATACCACTCCGCACCCCCAGCAAATTATAGTTTGAGAAGCATCAAAAAATTATTTTCATAACCAACCAGAAGTAGGTTGCACACATTGCAGAGGTTGGCTTGTGGTTAAAGATAAGTATTTAATGGAAACACTTCCACATGTATAAAGTGACTCATTAAACTATTTCTAGATGTTTAATCTGCTTCTATTTTCACAAACTAACTTGAACCCTCTTTGCTCTCTAGCATCTTGAATGTGTTGGAGCTTTTCACCCCCTCCTTTTTTTGAGTCCACATTTAATCCAAATGGTATATGTCCTACTATTAAGACTTAAAACTCCAGAAATGTATTTGTCATTACCAAACTTTGATCGTGAAGTTTGACAGCTCTGGCATATTTCTCTCTGAATTTCTTTTAAATTCATTATTTTTCTAGTTTTTAGACTTTTAATTTGTTTTTATTTGTGCATGTTTTTATTGTTTGTTAATGATAGTTAAGAAAATTAATAGCAAAAGTCCATTCCATTTCACTTTTGCTTGTAGATATTTGTGGTGATTAGAGTATCAAAGATTTTGCCAGTGCTTTAAACAACACTGTACCTTTTATTTGGCTCTTGAAATAGATAAAAGACAACTGTCTAAACAGTTCATGAGGAACACTTTAGAGAAGATAGTAAAGATTATATAAATCCCTGTTGGTAATTCTGGGGGCCATTTTTCCTTGTGGTTTGTGTTTTCCTGGGAAATGCTTTACCTCCAAGTAGTAAGTTTAGGGCCTTTAGCCTGCACTTCTTTAAGGATTGGCTAGGAATTTCTTATCTTTCTACCTTTTATATGTTATGTTGCAATAGTCTGCAGTGACATGGGTGCCACATGGTTCCTCTTGAAGTGCTTTGGCTCCTCAGCTCCCTGATAGCTCAGCAGTAGAATGAGAATTAAGTGTCTGTATGTTATTTCAGTGTTTGTACACAGACATATCCATTAGTCTGTTCTTTTGACCAAAGCTGTGTAAGCACAGGGCTTTCAGTGCTGCTGGTGGAGCCCAGGTAATTCAGCTGTCAGAAGAAAGCCCAGAGGGGACAGAGCAGGGCAGGGACTGAGAGCAGGATCAGGGAGCAAGGGGAGGAACTGGCAGTAGTTTGAAGGAGAGGAGAGGACTGGGATGAGGTTCTGTGCTGGAGGGATGTATTTTGAGAAAACAAGAAGCAGAAAACCCCAGATGTCAGTACAGTGCAGGGAGACACAGATGTACTATGTGAACTTGCCTCCACAATTAAAAATTGAATATGCAACATACAGAGTCCAAAATGTATCTGCTATCTGTAAATAACAGGAAAATCACTGAGAGGGTTTATTGGTGGGGGGGTCCCATGTAGAGAACAATAGCCTGCATCCTGTCCTGCAGAGTCTCTGTTCTGGTTTTGCAGACCTATGGGTCAGTGCTTAGTCATGTAAAACTTAAGAGTTGTTTTTTACTGAAGCCTACAAGAGCACTGTGGTACTTCCAACATGGGTGACCAAGGAATGAAACAGCTTTGGGTTGGCTCTAAAACCAAAATAGCATTCTGGGTGTAGTGTTCTGTATCTGAATAAAAGCTTTTAATGCCAGATGGACAACGGCCAATTTAACAAAGAGTGATTTTTCTTTTCAGTTAATATATATTTAGGAGAAAAAGAAAACAAATCTTTGCCACAATCTTTTACATCCTAAAATGTATTTTTTAATATGCATTGAGGCAGGCAAGCAATGAAGCTTCAACTATTTTTGTACAATTAGAGTTTTAGATTTTTTTGTCAACTCTTAAATTAAAATTACAGGCTTCTTTCTGAGATTCATAAAGGATTAGAGACAGTTGGAAGCAATTCCAAGGTGCAACTCTACAATGAAAGTTATGCCAAGGGCTTGAATAAAGGTGCAAATCAAAATGTAATAAGTCTAATTCTATGTTTGCTATACACAGCCACAATGAATGGGCACTGAAAGGGGTAGTGGAAGTGTTTAGGTTTGTTTTCTGACACAATTCTTCTTGAAAGTCATTGTGGTATTTAAATATTGTGAGGTCCAGAGATTATAATGTTCTGTGGTCCTTGCAAGACTGGGTTCTGTGCAATTTATCCTCATATGTGTCTATAGGAAATAGTTTTTCATAAGTTTTGGGTTTTTTTGGTAACATTTTGTTTTCAAGAGCTTTGAGCATTTTTTAGTGATTTTGAGAAAAGAGATTGTAAATTCCAAGCAGTTTCTTTAGTCTCCTCAGTAGTCTAGACTTAGTAGTCACCTCAGCTTTGGAGGAATTAATTTGTTTAGTTGAACTTTCCCTACGAGAGGTGGGAGAATGGCCCTTCTAAACTGTATAGGAGAAGGCTAATGCAAGTAGAAATATTTCTGATTTCAGCATAGTAAATAGTTACTGTGCTCTGCAAAACATTGGAGCTATGTGACTGAATTCTCTAAGCATTAAAGCAAGGAAAGTAAAAAATGTACTTAATTCATATTCAACCAGATTAACTTTTATTAAGTGTAATTTTTCCCTATGCTTAAGGTTTTCTAATCTGTCCCTAGATGATCTCAATGTGACCCATCAGCACTGTGTTCTGGCTGGTTTATCCCCTCGGTTCAGCTCCACTCACAGGGTGGCAGATGTAAGTACCAAAACCATTTCACTGCTTGGTCCCTTGCAAAGCCAATGTCCTGGTGCCATGTGTGCAGCACCCTGGTGTCTTATCAGAATTGTGCTTCATGTTATGCTTATGACTCAAACTCTTTTCATTAACTGTTGCTGTTTATTTTTGATTGAGGTACAATTGGTTCTGTATTGGTATTGGCCTTAACTCCCAGGCAGGCTTATCAGATGTGAATTGTGAATGTGCTGCACCACACCTCATGGATTGCTGATGAAATCTAGTTGAGAAATACAAATTTTCTGAAGTGACTGTATATAAGTTTTTATTGTATCTTTATAGTCTTCAAGAGGAACATTGGAATACATACTTGGACAGTGTGAACTGGCACTCCAGAATTTACAGACTGATTCTGATTCAATGGCTTTGTCTTTGAAATCACTGGAAGCTGCAGTGGTGAAGCAAGTAGAAGAAATACATAATGAGGTGAGATGATCTACACTGAAAATACTTCAGCCAGGTCTGAGCAGTGCAGTCTCCTCATCCATGACTGTTAATGGCAATTAAGTGTGTTCAGCTGCTTACAAGGCACTGCTTTTTATGAGTTTGCAATGTGGCTTTTATGACTTTTTTACTTGGGTACAGTAATAGGGATTATCCTGGAAGTTTTCATTTTTCCTTCTTAAGATCCCTCTGCTGGTAAAGTGAGAGAAGTTTCACAAAATACTGCACCAGAATTGACAGTGTGGTGGTCGAACAGACTACTCTGGCACTTCTCTAACAGAAAGGAAGAGAGAGAAGGGATTAGAGGGAAAGGAGCAGGTAGATTTTTTCAGTTATTCCTCCCTGGTTTTTGTTGAACCAGGTTTTTGCATAATGCCATGGGTGGCACAATTGTGAGTGTGGGCTCTAAAGTATGTTCTGAAGAAAATACAGTGGAAATGTGAGGAACATATTTAAGCAGGTCATTTAGTGCTACAAAGGATGCAAGTATTCATGCACTTGGACAGGATTCCACTGAAGCTGGAAGTGCTTTCTTGCTTGGAGCTGTGCTATATTTCTACTAAGATAAATTAGAAGCTGTACAAAGGTCATTTGCACTCAAATTAGAATCCATGTAAAATGTTTAAATTTCTGTCTGCTGAGGAATACATTATTTTGTAGTGCTACTAAAACTTCGTAGAACACATTTTTATCTGCATTGTGTTTACAGCTGGTAAAATGGAGCATAGTGTTGGCAAAAGATTCACGCCCTTGGCTTTTACCAAAACAGCTCCTGGGGCAATTGAAAGAAGTCTGATGCATGCAGGGGTTTACAAAACATTAATCAGGCTCAGTCCATAAAACTACACGCATATGTGGTTTGCACAGCAAGGGCCACAGGCACAGCTGGGATAAATTTGCACGGGTCCTTTAACATCAAAGCCATGTGCTGTTTACATCAGGTGAGAGAGTAGCCCCTGGTGTTTGCAGTCACCTGAATAATTTTGCAATGTGACATACAGGGATGTTTCCTGTTACACATATGGGATATACTGTAACAGCAATCCTTGTTTAACTTGTACTTATTGTGCATTTAGTAGACACACTGGATCTATATTTAATTTGAAAAGAGACTACCCATCCACCTATTTTACTCTTTTCTTTTTTTTCCTTATTTTTTTATCCCAAGGTCACATCTTCACTTGCTATTAGAGTGCTATGTAAATTTCATTTATTACTGCACAAGTAGACAAAATTTCTAGGGGCTTATCTCTGTGGTAAATATCTTTTTTCAAACATCAATGAGCTGAAAATATAAAGACTTGTGAAGCTAATGCAACTTTTCTTGTATATAAAAGCTTCCTACCTTGTTGCATGGTAAATCTTTGTCTTTTCAGGCACTAATACATGTTTTAGGTTGAAACTTTATGAGGCAGATGGAAGAACAAGGGACTGTGTTGTTTCTCAAAAGAATCAAACTGATGAAAATGAAGCTTTCATTTAACTCTTAGTTTTTTAGCAATTTTTAATGCAAAATCAAAATAGCACTAAAATCCAAATCTTCATAGGATTAAAGAACGGCCAGTTCACACAGTTTCCCAGTTTTACCTGTGTATTTCTGATATACAGCTTTCTGTGCTATTCATAAAGCTCCTTGTATTTTTTTTTTCTTCCTCTGAACCAGAGATCATGAGCTTGAAATGAGATAGTATCTAGAGGTGATGATATTTTATTTTTAAATATTGTCATAACTGAAGTTCTTCAGTTTTAACTCTTATAACAAGGTGCAGCCATTCTTCTTGGTTCTTTATCTTCCTGAAATGCTGCAGGTTCATTCTTTTTACCCCCTTGCTGCTACCTCCAAAGCAATCATCAGAGAACATTAACCAGAACAGAACCATCACAGTACCAAGCTAAAATCTACTAGTTTAGCAGATTCACAGACTGTGCTGAAATTAAGTGCTCTGCCAAATGAGGCCTGGATGAATTATCTGTGTCTGCTCCAGGGAAAAAGCCTAAGAGCAGGTCTGAAAGAATGAGGAATGATTCTGTGCCTTCACTTTTGTACTCCTGGGCAGGAAAATTGACTTGCTGTGCTGATAAAGTGTGTTTGAACTGAGGATCTGAAGCATAGGTGGAGACTTCATTTTTTTCCAGTTTTTTGGTGGGCAGAGAAACCTCTGAAAGAGTATCTGGGGGGTGTCCTTACTTGATGTTGGATTTCCCAGAGTTCATTTTTCAGGGCCCTGTCTTGGATGTCTTGACAGAGGTATTCCTGTTGAAAAAGTGAGATGCTAACCTGAGGAGGATTTTAGCATCTCTAGTGGGCAGCCAGGTGGAAGTTTAATTTAAACCTAGCTTTGTTGTCATGGTCTCCCTCACTAAAACAGCCTTCAAAGGAATATCTGAGTAATTGCAAGGTATGTGCTGTGTGTTAGATGTGTGAGTCACTTCACTCCCAGTGTGTACTTTGTAGTTGTAGGTAAAGATAACCTTAATTAAGGGTGCTCACGTGCAGTTTGTCTGTGCAGCTCATGGCCTTGCAGTCTGCACAAACTCTGCAGTGGCAGGGGTGGGAGGGTGATGCACTTACCTGGCAGCTGTGGAGGACAATAGCCTGACAGCTCACACACAGTCACAGCCAGGCTGTTGTTTGGTCAGGAATCATTCATCCCAAAAGAAATGGTCTTGCACAATTCTCTGAATGGCAACCTCTTGCTCCTCCTGCTTGGCTTTCCTAAACATAAACAGCTGCTGAGCACAGCCCAAACAGAGCTACAGGGCACCTGGGGAAAACCACTGGCAACTAAATTCTTGTTCAAGGAATTAAATACTCCTGGACAGACAATGTAAATGCTCATACATATAAGAATAAACCTGCAGAAAAGATCTTCACCAGCCTGTTCTTCACATTTCAAAGAAATTTTTTCTTGCTCTGACTAACGCAAAATCTGCTAATAGTTCATGTTGATGGGAAGTACTTTCAAGGCTTCTGTATTTGCTGTCACCAAACCAATATTCAGATGTCCTCAGTGTAGTAAAACACCAAAGAAGTCTTCTTTGTGTCATGGGATTGTGTTGAAAATATGGCAGGTTTCAAACGAAGTGCTTAAATTTGAAAGGTAGGGGTTTGTTCCCATCAGGGTGTGTGCTCAGCTGTGATGATCAGATCCTGATTACCATGACTAAAACTAGAGATTGAACTGGTTGCCCTGTTGCTTGTGAGGTACAGTCACTTTTGCCCACAGCAGATCTGGTTTTATGGCAGCAGGAGATAAACTGAGCTTGCAGAATGCATGGCAAGGCAGAGACCTGGGCTTGCTGAGTTGAAGGGATGTAGTGTTGGACACTGAGGTCATGGGTGAGAAGGGAGAGGGGCAGGCAGCCAGAGGAAGGTTTGTTTTAGCACGTTACAGTGAGCATGGTTGGTGGCTACTAGTATGGCAGAGAGAGAATATAGATTCATGTGTGGCATTGAATAACCAGTACTCTTAAATAATTGACCGAGGAGCATGGCCTCACAAAATGTCAAATGCTACTGTTGGCCTTTTACTACCCAGTCTTGACAATAACCTAAAATTGGCCTTTAATCATTGCTTAAAGGACAACTTGAAAATATGTTGAGAATGGACACATGAGGCCTGATTCTGAGCTGACTTGCACAGATGTAAGTCGTGAGTGAAAATCAATTAGAAGATGAAAATAATTCCTCAGACACTCAGCCTGTACATTTTTATATGTAAATATGTTTAAGCTGTGTCATCTTCAGTCATGTAAAATACTTTCTAATGATAACTGAAGTTAGTTCTCATGTATGGGAGTCTCCAATTTTAAAATCCAAGAGCTGTTCACCTGAGAGTTTTGTTACAGAAGATGAATGTTCTCTAACTTCCATTCCAAATTTTTGTGTCTCTCCAGTATTGAGTGTTGAGGTTTTTCTAGTGGTACAGCTTCTCCTGTGCATGGAAGGAGACTTCAAGAGAAGTGAGTTCCTGCTACAGAGAAAAGTTATTACAGAAGAGAAATCATGTCACCCTTGCCTCATCAAGATAATTTTCTGTCTCAGAATCAACAGATATCTGTTCAGAGGTCATAGTTCAGAGCAGACACTTGTCAAGCAGTTTAGTGGCCAGCTTGGAGGGTGAAACATTTTCTCCTCAACCCCGATTTATTAAGCCAGGTTAGAGCTGCACAGAGATGCAGTGAGATGGATGCAGAGCAGAGTTTGATAGCTGTGTGAGATGGCAGTGCACATCATTAAACAGCCTCTTGTTGCAATTAGGTACACACTGACCTCTGATGAGACCAGCTAAGCCTGCAGAAAATGAACAGCTTGTTGCTCTACTTTGTCTTAGACTTAAAAAACTACTCTTTTGTGTCAAATTGTATATATTTCCTATGGAATCAAGATACATTTAAATTTTGGCCAACATGCCAGACTGCAATTAGAGTGAAATTACATAGATTATTGCAACAAATCAATATGACTAGGTAAAAATCAGATTGACTGAAATAGATCTATGATGAGTCATATTTTAAGATTGATTTTAATAAAAATATTTTTTTCATTGATTAATGGCCTCATGATTAATTTCATGGAACCTGTTTGCCAGACAGCACATTATAGAGGCCAAAAAACTCAAAAAGAAGTGAAGAGAGAAAAAACCCAGTTCTTAAAATTCTAACTGAATAATGATTTGGTCAGCTTTCCCAAAACTGCATATACTGGTATTGTTTGTTTATTTTTCTACCAAACCATAACTGGATCCTTCATCTCTCATATCTCATTAATATTATAGAGGAAGCAAAGTTTCCTTCAGATTTTTTTTTTTGGAAGGATATCATCAAACTTCTGTGCTAAAAAGTCATGGACTAGCAGTCAGGATTTTTAAAAGACATTTTAAAATCTGTCTCTGCCAACTAATCATGTTATATTTTACTATAATATTCTTTTTATACACTGAAAATGTAAATATTTAATCATGTTATATTTTAGTATAATATTCTTTTTATACAATGAAAATGTAAGTATTTTTTATTGTAATCTTTAATGCATGGACCAAACCTTCAGTTAATGTTAACTGGACCACTTTCAGATTTCTGTAGCTGTTCAGTTTTCTCTTGCAGGAAAGGGAGTGTTAGGTGACAGCTTTGGGCAGTTTCTTTATTCTCTCACCTTGGTTGGTTGTCTTTGTTTGCATCTTCAGAGCTGAGCAGGGATAAACAAATCTTCTTTGTGGTACAAATAATGATTAAAGCAGCTTTGAACTCAGTGTGAAACATAACTACCACAACAAAGATAAATATGGAATTCTAAAGACCAGGACCATGGATTACTCCTAAGGAAAGCAGCATCTTTGCTAACTGGGCTGTCTGGGGCAGGATGGGAGGCTGTGATTCCTTGTGTGCCACCCTCTCATTCCAGAGCAACTGGGCTCCATTCTAGCCATGTTATTACTGCAAGTGTTTGTCCATCTCCTGTGACTGGAATGATTTGAAACCCACAGTGTTAATCACAATAAGCCAGAGTTGGTGCATATTTGGCTGGAATTTTTAACGTTTGTTATACATGTACACCATGTAAAAAACAGGGGGGAAAAAGAGACTTGAGTTTTGCACCTCTCTGGGTTTGAAGAGAGTAGCTCAGGTCACAAATGGATGTGGATTAGAAATGAACAGCTGGGTGTATTTAGAGATGAACAGTAAGGGTGTGTTTGGAAATGGCCTGCTTTGGTAACTGACTCCTTTCCTATGGGACTGTTCAGGTAGAGCTGGATTCTTGCACTGCCCCATTCCTGCCCCAGGTAAGGACTCTGGATGTTTATGGTGCCATATGTTTTTATCTTGCAGGTTGAATTTGAGTGGCTTAGGCAGTTTTGGTTCCAAGGCAAGAGGTACTTGAAGTGCACTGATTGGTGGCTTAAGCCTATGGCTAAATTGGAAGAATTTTGGAGAAAACTGGAGATTATGGTAAGCACTAGTTTTAAAGTCTAAGGCCTCTAGGGCCTAATTCTGAGAGCACTCACAATTATGTTTTTAATTGTACTGTAGTAATGGGTTTTAGACTTTATTCAGAACATATGAGAAGCAGAATCAATGTCAGCCTTTCACTGTCTCCTCTTACTTTTATCCCCCAGTAGCCAGAAAAAATGTGAGCAAAATCAGATCCAAAACCCCAGGATTTCAGTTAGTTCTTGACTTTGCTTGTTTTTAAAGTTTGAAAGCCTCATAAAAGCCTCATATGAGCCTTTTAGAGCCTCACAAGATGACAGCCATATATTGCAATGCTGTGCATTGTCAGCTTTTTTGTACAACACCCTGACAGACACCTCTGCTAGTGACAACAGTGGTGCATGTGTCTGAGGAAAGCTGAGAACAGAATTGGTCATCTGCAAGTACAACTGTCTGTGGTCCACCTGCACTCTGAGACCAAAGCCAGAACCTGCAAGAGGGGGTTATTTCAAGAATAAATGTAATGATGATATCTGGGTACTTCAAAGTGCATTGTGCATTCCTTGAAAAGGGATTCAGTGCCAAACACTGTTCTCCTGCTGCTGTCCATGTGGAGCCTCAGGTGAGAGCCTGTGCTGACAGAGTTCCAGAGCAGTTGCCAGTGTGCCTGTGGCTGGGTTTGCACTCAGAAGGGGCTGTGCTGGCAAACCCACTGTCCTCCTCTCCATCCATCTGCATCAGAAGCTGCTTCTCAGTCATTTCTGCTGGCCACAGCATAAACTAGCCTCAGTTTGCCTGTACTGGCTTGGAAGAGTTTGTGCTGCAGCTGAGGATGCTGAGTACATTTGGATCAGGGCTGTGTTTGGGGTGCAGCAAGACCCTCGGGTCTGGCAGGCAAAGCTGTGGCTCAGCTGCTCCTATGCAGTTCAGACTCGGAAAACACGCCCAGAAAAGTGGACATTTCAGTTGTGGAATCAGTTGCCACAAGAATTCACTGAACATAGAATTTTCCTAAAGGAGAGAAAATATAACTTGCTTATGTGTTTGGGTTCCCCCCCTCACCACCTTTTTTTGGTGTTCTTATGTGCTCACATTCTTGAATGATCCTTATAATTTAAAAAAAATCTTTTGGTTTGTTTTTCTTTCAAATGACAACTTACTCTCTTGTAACATAGGCTTAGATGAGGTAGAGACAAGAATGTTTGATATTTTATATCCATTGTGTGTTGAAAACATGGAAGAACAGCAAACTCTGGAACTCTCAAGGGTTAGGTTTTCTGCAATTGGTGTGACATTGCCATGTGTCTCTAATTAGAAACATGGTGGCGTCAGTGTATCTCCTTTCAACAAGCCTCGGGATGATATTTATCAGCAAACCCAAGCTTGGGCCAAGACAGAAGCTGCTTCTAATTTATATTTTAAGAATCGCTTTAATGTTTTATGACTTATAACATATTAATCACAATTAATTTCAGCTATTGGAGGAGACAGAGGAGAATGTTAATTGGGAATGTCTGTTTTGCGGGGTCTCTCGGTAAACTCGGGGCGCGCTCCCGGCGCGGGGGCGTCGCTGGGGCCGGGACGCGCGGTTTGCGCGGCGGCCGCCAGGGGGCAATGTTGAGCCGCGGTTCGGCGCTGCCAGCCGGGAACTGCGGCATCGGGAGCGCTCCCGGCCTCTCCCCGGCCCCATCCCGGCCCCATCCCGGCCGCTCCCCGGCCCCATCCCGGCCGCTCCCCGGCCCCATCCCGGCCGCTCCCCGGCCCCATCCCGGCCGCTCCTCGGCCCCATCCCGGCCGCTGCCCGGCCCCATCCCGGCCCCATCCCGGCCGCTCCCCGGCCCCGTCCCGGCCGCTCTCCGGCCCCGTCCCGGCTGCTCTCCAGCCCCATCCCGGCCATCCCATCGCACAGGAAATCGGCCGCGGGTTAACAAATCTAACAGCAATTTAACAGAAAAGTGCAGTTTTGGGGCATGCTTAGCTTCCACAGCTAAGTTAAATCAAAAGGGTGTTTTTGATGGTACCCGGCACTCTGCAGGCGATGGGTTGGTTGGTTTTTTTCCCTCCAAATTGGTAACTTTAGCTGGATGATTTTTGGGAAAAAAGAGAGATAATACTTTAAAATGCTAAAAGTAAAATGTCTTAGAGTTTTTGCTCTTGCTTTGGAAGGATTTTACTGCTTACAAGGAGTTCTTTCTTAAAAGAAAATATTTAAACATGTATTTTTCCTTTGTGTGTAAGCTGAACAACTGTTGACATAGCTTTTTATATATGTGTCTAGAGTGATACAAAAGTCAGTCTCAGGGACCTTCTTTGTGTTTTTTTAGGTTTTCCCCTTGTTTAATAATTTTTGAAACTTTCTTTTTCTTCTTTATCTCTGATTCTGCTAATTATAATTACTCTTCTGTCACGGCAGAGTATGATATTGCAAGAAGTTTAGCCCAAACCTGTGGGCTTTATTAAATATTTTTTGTACATTATAGCAAGCACACAATTTTATCATAATGTTTATTCCTGGCATTTCTTTCCCTGAGGATAGTTTTACTTAGAGCTCACTCTTGTGATGTAAATGTTAAACCTTTCATTTGAATGACATTCTGATAAAACATCACATTTCCCACAATATTACCTCATGAATTTATGAGCCATTAAATCTGAAGCAGTTTAACCAATCCTCCTTTTTTTCTCCCCCTCCCTTGAAAATATGAAGGCTATTCATATGTTGGAGGGTTTTTTTTTTAAAAGTCATCCAAGATTAACACGTTATCGCCTGCAACATCAGGATAAATGCTTGCAGAATTCAAAGGCAGAGTTACCATTTGAAAAAAGACCGTACAGGCTTTGCTTTCTGGGTAAAGAGAAGTCTGAAAAGCTGAAATCTCATGTGATGTGAGCAAGTCTTGCTGTAGCTGTTCTGAGATTCAGTGGAGAGACAATTTGTCTCTCAGGGTCTGATATCATGCAAACCTTGCAATCTGACATTTATTTTAGCTATGAAAATCTGTAACCACCACACCAAATCTGTAAGAACTGCACAAGTCCAACAGTCTTTTTTTGGTTATTTTGTTTTAGATTCATTCACATGAGAAAAGTAAAATGTAAATCAAATTTTGTTTGTAAATGTAAATCAATATTTTTGTTTGTGGAATGAAAAGTAAACATATATGGCTTTACTTGCATGTTGAATTTTTGAAGGCTTTTTTAAACATATCTAGTGCTCCTTAAAAAATAAAAAAGGGCCTTACATTGCTATATGGTGTGAATTGTATTTCCTGCTTTGACAGTCCATTTAGCAATGTAGCAATGTATTTATATGGCAGTTGGCCTTAATAACCTTTATTGACTTTAGTGGGAAAGAGCCAAGACTGGCATTATTAAAATGTATCAATTTCATTGCAGTATAAAATCACAACATATATAATTATGTTTGGTAGGCTAGGCTCCATTTAATCCCACCTATTTATGCAGGAATTTGGCAAGACAAGAGAGCGTGGAACTGAAATGTAGAGAAAAGTGTGAGTGACTTGGAGCTGCATTTAACAGCACAACGGCCTCACTGCCTCCAGTGCAGGCACTACTTAAAGGAATGAAACATAGATCTTGGGGAAGTAATTTCTTAATGGGAAAACTGAAGCACAAGTAGTTGTTCCACCATTTGTTTCATTTTTTGGCATTGATAACAGAGCTGAGGATAATGAAATGCTGCACACCTTTTAGTTTGTAGTAGTGTAAAAGCAGAAGTGTGCACACTTGGTGTAAGCAGAATGATCAAAGTGGCATTTCATGCAGGCTGTATCTTTCTGCACAGCTTTCATCTTGATTTGTAAACTTTTTAAAAACTATCTTTAGTCTCATTATTACTGTTATTCTCAATAACAGACTTTTTATCAGTTTTCACAACTGAATTGAAATCAGAGAGCAAGAGTATTTTTTTTGTAAAATGATTTTTCTTTCCTTTTTGAGGTCTGTTTCATTATTTGCTCCTATTGCTATATATGAAGTATGTCATAGTTTCAGCTATAAGCCACTATTGTCAGGGGCTTACAGCCTGACAGTTAGAATTGAGTCTACACTGAAACTTGAGCTACAAAATCTCAGCCCAGAGCCATTTTTTTTCCTCCCAAATTAAAGCAAGGGTTTAAATATGTATTTAAATCAAGAGTATTTCAGTTCCCAGATAACCATGAAAAGCTCTAAGAAAAAATACGCTTTTACAAGGAATTCTCCCAGCTTTTGTAGACTTTGGCACTTTAAACAACTAACCAATTATTTAAAAAAAAATAGATAATGGGATCACAAACAGGCTGGTTGGTTGTTTAGCTTCTTTCAGAAATTGCATAGCAACTTAACTGACACTTGAATTGGTTTGACCTTGTCAGCCAAAATTCCAGGAACTCTGAGGAATTATTTTAATTTCTCTTCTGGTTTTCCCGTGGTGCTCAGATATTGCAGTGTCACACTTTATTGGAGGGCCATGTGGCCACGGGTGATGGGATTTGCCTAATGAGCTGTGAAATGCAGGAACAACATGGCAGCTCCAAAACCCAAATTTTACCCATATTTATTGTCTTTTGGGGCTCTCCTTATCTGTTTAGGCCAGAGCCTTTAAATAAATGTATTTTTGGCAGATTATATTTTGTGTACACTGGAAGTCAGATGTTTCTGGAAATGTATCTTTTATCTTAAACAGCAACAACAAAACCTGATCCTGGAGACTTTTTTTCTTTTTATTTTTCTTTTTTTTCTTTTTCTTTTTTTTTTTTTTTTGTTTTTAGCAATAATTTCTATGACCCCAATATTTTTAGCTGTCAGAAATGGGAGAAAAGATTGAGCATTGTCTGTAGCAGAATCACAATGAAACTGTAAAAAGAAAAAAAAAGTAAAGTTGTATTGCACATCTTTGAGGAAAAAAATTATTTACAATTCTGAGGGAATTCAGACTTAAGCTTCCAAAACAACATGTGTGCTGAAAGCACAAAAGACTGTGTTTATGATTCTCTTTGAAGTGTTTCTGCAACAGG